TTTTTGACAGTGTGAGTCTGTTTCCTATCAGGCAACAATAGCTGTTATGTTTGACTATTCTTTTCCTCGTAGGGAATGGCAATGCTCTGTGAAACGATAGAAGAATGTTGGGATCATGATGCAGAAGCCAGGTTATCAGCTGGATGTGTAGGTGAAAGAATTACCCAGATGCAAAGACTAACAAATATCATTACTACAGAGGACATTGTAACAGTGGTCACAATGGTGACAAATGTTGACTTTCCTCCCAAAGAATCTAGTCTATGATGGTGGCACCATCTTTACACACTGAGAATTGGGACTCGGAACTGGAGCTGCTAAGCTAAGGAAACTGCTTAGTGTATTTTCTGTGTGAAATGAGTAGGATGCCTCCGGGACATGTACGCAGGCAGCCCCTTGTGGAACGCATGGCTCTGGGAGACTTACTGCATCATCTGCAGCACAGATATGAAGGGGAGTCTAAGGGAAAAGCTGCAAACTATAATGAACTGAGAAATGTACACGAAGAATGTGGCTCTCTCCAAATCAAGGCTCTTTTGGACCTGGCTAATCAAGTATTTGAAAACTGACATCAGATTTTAATGTCTGTCAGAAGACACTAATCCTTAAATGAACTACTGCTATTTTTTTTAAATCAAAAACTTTTCATTTCAGATTTTAAAAGGGTAACTTTTTATTGCATTTGCTGTTGTTTCTATAAATGACTATTGTAATGCCAACATGACACAGCTTGTGAATGTGTAGTGTGCTGCTGTTCTGTGTACATAAAGTCATCAAAGTGGGGTACAGTAAAGAGGCTTCCAAGCATTACTTTAACCTCCCTCAACAAGGTATACCTCAGTTCCACGGTTGCTAAATTATAAAATTGAAAACACTAACAAAATTTGAATAAATCAATTCATGTTTTATAACAAGGTATTACAAATTCACTGTGTTATTTAAGAAAAAATGGTAAGCTATGCTTAGTGCCAATAGTAAGTGGCTATTTGTAAAGCAGTGTTTTAGCTTTTCTTGTACTGGCTTGTAATTTAGGGAAAACAAAGTGCTGTTTTTGAAATAGTAAAAAAAAAAAAAAAAAAATGGTGTCATTTCCCCTCCTTCCCTTCATCTTATATCCAGGACCCAAAGTATTGCATACTTAAATAGTACTTTTTTCTTTAAGGTGTGCTGTGTTTGGGAAATATTTGAAAACATAAAGCATGATTTAGGAAATTTTAAGTGAGCTGTGACACTGGAAAGCTCTTCATTTTATCTTTTAAAATAGATTTTTTTTCCTATTTATATATATAAAATTGTGGTGTATTTCTTCTTTTACCAAACAGTGTGTGAGATATTCTTATCACTGTTTTAGGATCACCTCAGGAAGTGTCATTACTCAGAATTCCTCACTCTGTTTTGAGACGTGTAACTATCACTATGCTGTGTGGTGCCATCATGCCAGAGTAATATTTGACGTCTGTGATATTAAGAGAATTATCTTAGGATAGAGATACTGACCTTTAAGCACAGATTTCAGATATTACTGCTTTAAATCAAATCAGGGATAACAAGTTGAACTTATAACTTAAAATATGCAATGACATTTAGAGGTAATCAGTGGTGGTATAAGGAACACAGCCTAGCCTCCCCCAAGTTACTTTACAGCTAACTCTAGATAGTTCATGCCTTATCCTTGCTAAGAAAATGGAATTGATGGCAAGTAGGTGCCAGAGTGCTTTTAAAAACAATAAAACATTAGAATACAATTGGCCTCTTCCTCAAATTCCCTAATTTTTAGATTACCATCAAATAGCCAGTATTATGTTATATACATTTTTGTCGAGTCACTTTAGCATCCATACATTGATTTTATAAACTTTTTACATGTTACTATCAGGAGCTCACTGTGAATGCATTATCTTCAGATGGTTAAGACATCATACACTACATTTTACATAAAATGTGCACTAATCTCTGGGAAGACTAAATTAATTATAAATAATACATAGGTCAACAGACTCTAAGCAGGGAGGGGAGAGTAATACCATTCATTGTGTCTGTATGCCACACCCCATAGAGAATTGTGCTTTGTCTGTGTATCAAAGGTCTCACTGTATTCCTAAAATTGCCCCGTTCAGCGTTCACTGTTCTGATTTCTACATATTTGACCTCCCAAATTCTTGACTTAGGTTTGCTTCCACTTGTAAACTAATCAAGGAAAACCAAAAGAGAATGTGCATACAAGAAAATTGTTAATCTCTATAAACAAATTTCTGATTGTAAACATTCAACATCTTTTTTAAAAGTGATAAACAAGGGATAATGTGACTGTCTGGCTTAGGAAAGCACTACAAACAAAATGTTACCAAGACTGGTTCATGATAGAAAATGCTTTGTCTTCATGCTAGGGAAACTTTTTTTTTTTTTAGTAATCTTGGGTATTGTACTTAATTCTAGCTTATCAATTTTAAAACTTGTATTCTCTTGATAACTACATTAACAGAAAGCCTTTTTTCTAAGCAGTAAAGTAAGAATGTTCCAGTGACTACCTGTCTTTATACCTAGTCTTGTTAAAACTTTCTTTTGCAGGGCATTTTAGTGTTTGGTTTACAGTAAGTGCAGAACGGGCAGATAAAAAGCTTTGAGCTAGGGACACTGAAAAAGGAAGATGAAAGAATGAAAAGATTCCTTTTTTTTTTTTGAGGGAGATGGCAAACTTAGACCCCTGTAACTTTGTGTATGGTGCTCCTCATGATGTCTTGTACTTTGCCTTTCTGATACCCACCAGAACTGCTGCTCTTACTCTACCTTGCCCAGATCTCCTGTGAGAAATGCTTTATGATCAACTGCCATAGGACTGATGGATTAACCAGTGTTTGAATTTATTTGAAGTCTATCTATGCCCTGCACAGATCTTGTATGTATTTTAGATGCTAGGAGTTTTAGCATGTGATTTGTGATTCTTGTTTGGACGTTTTATTACAGGTACCTTGTGAACTCCAGAACAGAGACTGTGCCTCAATGATTGGTCCCATGAACTTGCACTATCTTTCGTGGTGATATTCTGAAAATACAACCAAGGAAAACAAAACAAAAAAAGTCCAACATGCTTGGATTTAAAACTAGAATCACAAAATTAGGCAAACATCGCTTCTGTCCCCTTTTCTTATCCTTAATAGTCACTTTTAAGTAAAATTCAAATGGTTGGGAACAAACCCTCACCAGATAGATGGTAGTTTAGTGGAATAGACTGATTACTGTTTTTTAAAAAAATGCTTCATCAGATATTTTCCAGTTTCTCTTTTTTACTTTTTTGAAAAATTACTTTTTAGGAACATTTGGTATAATGTGCATAAAATTATTTACAATTTATGGACAAAGATACAAGTAGCATCTTGATTAAACATCATTTACCTCAGATATTCAACCAGCAGTACGTTTTTTATGCAGTCTCAACCCGTATCTCCCTATTTGTTACCTCTCAAAATATTGGTAAACAATTATTTTAGCTTTACTCTGTATTTCTTGTCAGTGTTTTGGGCACAGGTTGTTGTACTACTGTCATATTGTACTTGCTATTTTTTTTTCTGCAAGTATTTAACGGAAAGCTAAAAAACGAAAAAAAAATTCCCATAAAATCCCACCTTGAATAAGTGATTGTTAAATATTGTACAAATAAAATGTATGCTATCCCCATTCCATTCCCCATGTTAAATAAAAAAATGAATATGGTATTATTTGTACATGAAGTTTTTCTTTAGCTATGTATGTTCTTCAAGAGAGTAAGTTTTCCAATTTACAGTGAGGTTTCTGCCTTGAGATTTTCAAGGATATAAATCATAAAAGCAGAGAGGTTTATAAATTAGGGTATTTTCCTTCCACTGTTGTCTAATCAAGACTGTATTTCTAACCTGTGTCTGTATTGGTCCTTACTGCCCATGGAAGGCATGCAGAACCTTGTTGGTATATCCAGTGCACTTGATCAGATTCTATGCTGTCAGGACAATGATGAAGGGATGTTTAGATGCTTTGAAAGAACACACACTCATCTAAGTCAAATCAAAAGGCAATGGTGGACTGCCACAGAAATGCCGTTTTCCACAGAACATTCTGAAATGTCTTAATTCTTTAGATCAGTAGGTAATATGTTCTTACTGTATAAGACATTACCATATGGAAGTTTGAACAACAGATTTTAATTTCTCAGAGATATGTGTCTGCATATAAATCAGAGCTGCCTTTTAAACAAGATCCAAGTTTCAGTAGGCCACATGGAAGAAGTCCTCTTTGGTGGTTCTTCCATCTGTTGACCCAGGGGAATCTTGAGTTGATTTTCAATATTTTTCTTCATTGCAGAGAATCCTCAAGTCATACTTTCTGTCCACATTCATTTTTTTTTTTTTTTTAAGACAACTCAGGCTAGTCTGAAACTTGTTTCCACCTCTGAAGCTGTGGAATTATACATTACAGACATATACTTTCATACCATACATCTTTACATCTTTTTTAAGGAGCTCATGTTTCTTTTATTAGATTTAATAATGTAGTTTCAGCAATGTATGAGGTGAAACTGGCTTAAAAAACTTGCAATGGTTATACCTACACTCATATGACTTTAATAAGTACTACCATTTCATTCTCATCAATTATTAAAAATAAAAATTCACCTTGCTTGTTTTTAAAACTAAATACATTGTTCTACTAGATCTTTAGTTGTTACCTAACCAGGAAAGCAGAGAAATCAGCTTTCTAAGCAGCATCTAATTAAGTTTGAAATTCTCCTGCAATGGATTCTTTAGAGAGGGATTTTTTCTTTTTCTTTTTCCTTTTCTTTCTTTTTTTTTTTTTTTTTTTTTTTTTTTTTCTTTTTTTTTTTTAGGAAAAATTTTCTTTTTTTTTTTTAGGAAAAATTTTCTTTTTTTTTTTTAGGAAAAATTTTCTTTTTTTTTTTTAGGAAAAATTTTCTTTTTTTTTTTTAGGAAAATTTTTTTTTTTTTTTTTTTTTTTTTTTTAGAGGAAAATTTCACTTTTATTCAGTAGTAATGCTATCATGTTAAGTATTTTGGGGAAAAAAAAAATTCATCCTTGAAAATGTGAGGATTGTGTCATGAAACCACCAAGCAAACTTAATGAGATAAGGCTGGGAAAAAGTCTTAAAACGTAGAAGGCTAAACATGGTTTATTGTAGGAAAGGCAAGGCTGCATATGAAGAAAGTGGGTTTTTACCTATGAGGTGGAACTTTAAATGCACAGAAATCTTAACAGTTGAGATTTCTTAAAAGCTAAATTAGTTCTTAAAGTATCCTGTAAAAACAGTAAGGAATATGTTGCTGAGCTTTAGTTTTTATTAACATGGGCTTTAGGGTCAGTCCCATACTGTGATCCTGGATACTACCACTGGTGTGTTTTCTAATCTGTAAGTACTAAATTCTGTAGTTAAATTCTTTATAAATTGCACACAGAAGGGTGATGTTTTATAAATTATAAAATATTACTGTGAACAAATATGCAATGAAATATTCTTGAACAAATGAAGCCAGTGAATGATTAAACCTCAACCTGTGTTACTTTTAGGTTGGGTCTATGAATTTATGATGTGCACCTTTGACTGACATTCTGTCTTAGGGAATTCCTTTTAGGCGCAAACAGCTAGCACTGCAAATATTCTCATTATTTTGTGGAAGCAGTTTCCCTGGAATCCTTTAAGGTAATGTTAGATGGCAAATTCTGATCCCTTCTGAACTAAAGTAGATCCAGAATGTACACTTAAAATCATCATATGGACTATCCCCATGATAGTATAATTTAAATCAATGAGACTGTGTATGTATAGTAATGATTCAACACATAAGCCAAGATACTAAGTGCAGGTTTCTCATAAACAATATTTATAAACAAAGGAATGTAATAACATATCTTGTTAGATAGAGGGCAGTAGCTTTTAGTTCTTTACAGAAATGTACTTAAAATGTTCACAGCCAACTTAGTGAGGATGTTGCCCACTGCCTGACGTCTGTAGGGCAGTTGGAGTACTTCTGTAGGGCATTCATAATTTGAGTATTATCCAAAAGTAGTTTCACTAGCTGGTATTCTCTCTGTGAATTGACTGAAGTTCTTTCCATTGGTTTTATTAATTCCAGTTGTTGTAAATGCTCAAATGCCTGAAAGATAAAAGAAAAATGATAATCCAGGATAGTTACTGGTTTTAGCCAGCTGTGAAGACAGGCAAGTTAAAGAGAAATCAGCACATTTGAGCCATCTTTCCCCAAATGCACCTCTCTATACCTGAATTAAAATGTTTTATGTTTTACTTAAAAATATTTTTTCAAGACAGGATTTCCTAGCTGTCCTCAAACTCAAGAGATCCACCTGCCTCTTCAAGTGCTGGGATTAAAGGCGTGCACCAGAGGGAAGGAAGTAAGGAACAAAGAAAGAGAACAGGAAAGACACCAATAGAATTAAAATAACTTAGGGAATGGGAATTTAGCTCAGCAGTATAAAATGGCCTAGCACCAGTAAACAAGAACATATAGTCTTCCCAAACCCCAAGTTTAATCAAATTCATAAAAACTACTCTGTTAACTTTACTTGAATCTTAACAATAATAAGGTTTTGTTTCGAGGCTCATTCTGTATCATAGGTTCCTCTTTTCAGCACCTATTTCACACATTCCACTTTGGAGATATATAGCTCCAGTCCTTTGTCTACTGCTTTCACATTAAAAACCTAAGAATCTGTTAAGACCAATTAAATAGGTTACTAAAATTTGCAGTTTGTTTCAATCTCAAAGCCTTACTGTACATTAAACAGCTATATACCAATAGACCAATGGCCCACTTAGCCACCATCAGAGAAGCTTTCTCCTGCAGTAAATAGGAACTAAGAGAGACCCACATTTGGACAAAGTACAAAGCAGGAGACCTTGGAAAACTCCTGTCTTAAATAGGACTTTCTTCATCAAACCCCTTATCTTAGGGCTCAAGGAAACTCTGGAAAGGGGGCAACAATTTTCTAAGAGCCAGGGGGAATGGATACCAAGGAAATAGTGTCTTCTAGACACAGTGGGACTGAGGAACACCAACAATGAGAGGCAGTGACAGCAAGCACAGATCCAAGCCAGATAGGGTCCAAGTGCTGAGATGGGGAAGTAGACACCATCTCCCAACCCCAACCAAGAATCTAGCCCCAATTAACAACCTCTCACAAAGGAAAAATTAGTTCCTCCAAGGGAGTCTCTCTGGGTATAGAAACCATGTATAACTAGGGCAGGGACTATGTCCGGTAGCAGATGGCCAACATAACATAAACTCAAAGGTCTTTGAAAATTTCTCTTGTGTGTGTCTCAGCTGATGCTTTGGCATTACCCCCACCTCCCAAACTGGTCTTTTGCTTGTATGTTATGGTTTTCAATTTTGTTTTTATGGGTTCTGTTTTGTCTATGCCTGTGTGTGTGCTTTCCCCTGCTATTCGTTATCTCATTTTGTCTGTCAGTTTGTTCATTTTGTTTTGTCCTTTCTTGCCTTTCTATCTGCTTGACTGTTATCCTGGAAGGGGGGGGGTGTGGAGTGTGGCTCGAAGGGTGAGGAGAGGGGAAGGATATGAGGGAGGGGAATCCCTGACTGGAATATATTGTATGAAAATAACTACTCTCCATTAAACATAAGTAAAAATAAAAAACAAAAAAGTTTAACAACTGTAACATAGGGAGAGGTAAGAAGGCGCAGAGTACAATAAAGTCTATTGGATTGACAGACCTTGTAAGGTGGTTCAGACCTGGGGATGGGGTGGGGTGGTATGTTTGTTTTACTACCTGTCAACAAAGTTCCCATCCATGTTCCTCTTAGTCACTTTAACAAAGCTCTTAATTGTTTGCTCCCTTGTACTCTACAACTCATATTACTTTTAGAATCTTGTTAACTGTTTAGGTTTGTTATTAAGGAAAGAAGTAACTAAATTCTGATGACGTACAGTTCACTGTGAAAAGTATCATTACAATATATTCTGCTTATTAAAAAAAAGTTCTTATTGGAAGAGAAAAGGCTTAGATGTCATTCATTTTGAAAAACAAGAAAACATAAGATTCTTCAGGTGTAGCTGAACACAATTGAAAAAATATTTTCTATTTTCAAGTTGCAAACTATACCCCTAATTTAAAATGCACAAATGAGCAACTACAAATTATTCCCAAACGTGCCCAGGCACCTTTTTTACAACTACAAACATCCAGACAGGAGGTTAGGGGAAGAATGCTACGACTGGTGCTACTTGAAGAACTGGCATGACTTTGTGCTCACTTGTGAAAAATAATAAAGGAAAAGAAATTCAGACTGTACACTATAATCAAAGTCACAGATAAGGCTTCTACTGTTTAAAAAAATAAAGATGTTTACTCCCATATACCCTCCTACCCTACCACACTGTGCCAACACTGGACAACCAAGCCCTTGAAATATGTGGGTCTGTATTTACATCTTATTTAGTTTCCATTAAATATAAACTTAAAACTCGGAGACTCTATTTAAAACAAAGAGTATATTTGGTACAATTTTAAAGTGTAAATCTACTTTCATAGCTACATTTTTAATCTCAGTACAAATTTCTAATGAATATTAAGTTGGGATCTGTTGTAATTTTGTACAAATATGCCAAATTTTGAAGATATAAAAGAAACTACTTCAAGAAATATTTAATCATAGATTTGGAAATATTTTTAATAGCTGAGTTATATTGTTGCTTACTAGATAAACCTAAGACTATATAATATGATTCACATTTTCTTTGCAGTGGAGGAGTGTATTGTATGATGTCCCTGGCAATCTGTAAAGTGATACCTTACCACAAATAAAGCTTAATATCTGAAACCAACAACTTGTGGACTGGAAAAGGACAGGATCATTACAGTTGTAATACAAGGCAATGTAGTTCATTTTCAGTATGCAAATGCTAAGAACAGACAGTAGAGGGCAATGTATCTTCACAAACTATAAAACAAGCTACCTACAGAATTACTGAAGTTATTTCTTCATTTAACCAAATTTTGCTTCAAAAGAATTCCTATAATAAAACACCCACAGATTCAAAATGTTATGAAATATATATAAAAATCAAGTAGGAGCTGATGAAAACTACAAGCAAATCAAACCATACCTTCATGACCACAGGCTTCTCAAAGTTATAAACAGAATGGGCCTTTCTTTGAATAAATTTCTGAAACTCTGCAAAAAAAAAAAAAAAAAGCAATGAGAGTATTAGTCCTCTCCAGTAAGAAGCAGGGAAGAAATCCAGATGAAAATGGTGAACATTTTAACTCACCATTATAGACCATTTGAAAATTAAAGGGCTCTTCTTCATAGATGTCATTTAAATGTTTCATTGCTATTATAAGACAGATTTCCAAGACTGATAGCCCTGTAATAAGAGAGATGGACTTTTGAGTTGCATGACACTGAAATGACTATCCTCCAGAAAATAACTACTGCATGGTAAAGGATTTGAAGGGCTGAGGCGGTTGGAATTCCCTGTACTTAAAAGCATTCCGACCACTATTATCTAAAATACCACAAGTTTAAGTCTTGTAATTTCCGGAATATAGTTGTTATTGGCTTTTGTGGTGGTGGCGGTAGGGGTGGGGGATGATGTGCAAAATAAAGATTTTTCTAAACTAGATGGTGATAGTGCAAACCTTTAATCTCAGCATTTGGGAGTCAGAGGCAGGTGGATCTCTGTGAGTTCAAGGTCAGCCTAGTTTACAGAACAAGTTCCAGGACAGCCAGAGATACACTCAGAGAAATCCTGTCTTGGACGCCCCACCCCCACCCCCCCAACCCCCGCAAAAGGATGTACTATATGAAAAATTTGATACTATATGGCTTAATCAACAGGAAAAATTGTTATTGTCATGTAATTTCAAATAACATGCCTTTTGGAGGCATTTATGAAGAGAAGTTCTGGAAATTTTATCTAAAACTGTATGCATATCCTCTACTCTCCCGTGCTCCCCCCTCCACACACACACACACAGGAAAGAAAAATGTTCCATTTTCAAAAGGGAGAGTAAACCTCAAATGACCAAAAGCAACAAATACAGTAGCATTTTGGGTAAGCAAGGAGAATATTACCAATAGTCCTACCTGGAAAACCCATTGGCATGGGAGGCAGAACACAATTTCTTTCACTTTAAGTAACAGTGATAATACACTGCACAGTGCTGATTAAAAAATCTATGTATATGAAGTAGTCTGTATATAATACACCATGTTCAATACTGATTATGATTTTGGAAAATATTTAAATTCAAACTTTTAAAATCCAAAGGTTAAAAGAAAGACTAACAAAGCAGTTTCTCACCATGTATAATACTTGCTTTAGAATCCAAGCTACACAAATGCTGTGCCTCCATTAGATCTGCTGAAGTCATAAATGGGTGTGATACTGTTACTCGATTTAAAGCAAGCATCTAAAGAAAGGTGTATTAAAAGTTTGTTATTTACTTGAATATTTTTTTAAAATTTGTATATATGAGAAAGAAACTAGAGAAAGTTAACCTCAACTCTACTTGAAGAAAATGTTGCAGATTCAGTTCAGATGCTGCTGTCTCTACTACTTTGCAACTGAATCATATTTACTTACTGTCCAAAAGAAAAGCATTAAAAGAAATATCCAACAAGAAGAAACTGAAAATAACACTGTTCAAAACTCACACACCTACACCTATGCATTATACAAATTTTTACAAATAATATGTAAAAAAGTAAGTAACTGCTGTTTAGAAGTAAGCAATTTTGAAAACGAAAACAATTATAATCTTAGACACAACTAGCCTCTTCATTTAGTTCTCCTCAAACAATTATCAGATTCTGGGACTAAGTTTTCAGCTCAAATAAAAATTTCACTGTAATTTGTATGTTGAATGTAAGTATTAGGGTTTGAAGATGTAGAAGATACAAACATACATCATCAGGTCAAATGTGTACTTCCATCATTAAGGACAAGAGACTGGAAGTCCTTGGACTTCATTCTTTCACAAATTGGGGCTCTGGCCATTTGTGGCTCTTTATTTTTCTATTTTTTTCCTGTTTATTGCATTTCCTAAAAAAAGGAATTTTCAGGCAAATGGATGGAACTAGAAAAAAAATATCCTGAGGTAACCCAGACTCAGAAATGCAAACATGGTATGTATTCACTTAAGTGGATACTAGAGGTAAAGCAAAGGATAACCAGACTACAATGCACAGCTTCAGAGAAGCTAGGTAACAAGGAGGATCCTAAGAGAGACACCTGGATCGCCCTGGGAAAGGGAATTAGATGAGATCTTCTCAGGGTGGGGCGGTAGTGGTAAGGAGAACAGGTCTTAAGGTTTCTATTGCAGTGAAGAGACACCAAGATCACAGCACCTCTTATAAAGGAAAACATTTAATTGGGTGGCTCACTTACAGTTCAGAGATTTAGACCATTATCATCACGGCAGGAAGCAAGGCAGCATGCAGCTGATATGCTGCTAGAGGAGCTGAGAGTTCTTACATCTTGACTCACAAGCAAAAAGAAGTGGTCTGAGCCACAAAGTATTGTGTGAATATATATGAGACCTCAAAGCCCACCTCTACAGTGACACACGTCCTCTAACAATGCCATACCTTCTCCACCAAAGCCATACCTCCTAATAGTGCCACTACCTATGAGCTTTTGGAAGTAATTTCATTCAAATTCAGATTCTTAATCTAAAGATTCTTAACAAACAACTTTATTAGACAAGTTGCTAGAAATGACAGTATACTTTTGATGGGCAGGAGGGAATTAAACTAATGAGATAGGAAGTTTATATGGAGAAAGAATTTTCTTCAGTAAATACAGGAAAGGAGAAGAAGAATCAATAAATGCAATGTGACAGAAACACTTGAAGCATGCCACAGGCTGATAGCCAAGAAGCCTAGAGCTGAGCCCTACCTTTCCCATCTACTAGATATGAAAGACCTGTTTAACTGAGATGTTTCAATTTTTTTCAAGGGGGAGAAGAAACACCTAAGGATAAAGGGAAATGATTAGTGTGAAAAGGTTAAATATTACATAGAAAATGAACTAGTTACTGGATAGATGTGCTACTTAATAAATGGTCACTATTACTCATTTCAACTATTTAAACGGAAACAAATGGACCAAGAAATACTTTCTCCTAGAAAGGCAAGTGATATCATTTTCAAACATTATTAACAAGTAAAATACATTAATATTATTAACAAGTACTGATTGGCTTCAACATTATTCATACCCCCTAGAAAAAAGAAGTGGTCTGAGCCACAAATCAGTGTAGTATCTAACTAATCATTAAAGAAAAACATATGGCCGGGTGGTGGTGACACATCCCTTTAATCCCAGTACTCGGAGAAGAGACAGGCAGATAGATCTCTGTGAGTACAAGGCCAGTCTGGACTACGGAGTGAGTTCCAGGAGGGCCAAAGTTACATAGAGAAAACCTGTCTCTGGAAAAGAAAAAAAAAAAAGAAAAAAAGAAAAGAAAAACATGACCTATCCACTGATTTTTACATTTGACAAAAATCTAAGACACATTCATAATAATCTCAACAAATTCTGCATGAAAAAGAAGTTAACAATGACCATGTACAAGAAACCTTCCAACTAAAGTTTATATCATACTAAAATACTGAATGTCTTCCTCTTAAAACTGAGAACAAAGAAAAACACCCACTTTCACTACTCTGAGCCAACATGTTATGGCAATAGCAAGAAAAGACAAAGACTAGAAAGGGAACAAGAAAATGTACCTGTTTGGGGGTAATCTGAGCATGTCTATATAGAAAATCCCAAATTTTAAATTCTGATAGTTCAGCAAGACTGAATGTACTAAAATATACAAATACTATTTACAACTGCTTCAAAGACAGTGAGACACTGATACACTTAAAATGTGTACTGGATATGTGTTGATGAATTATAAAGTATCAATGAAAAAAATCAACATATAACTAAAGATGTGCTCTATATCCAAATATCAGCATAGTCAATGTAATAAATATGCCATTTAGCCCTAAATGCATCTATCTATAAGTTTAAAATTTTCCCATCAAGACGTAAGCAGTACTCTTGACTGATATAATATTGGTAGGAATGTAGAAATTGTATAGTTATTATTGAAAACTGAAGGTACTTCAAAATGTTAAAAATACAGATTATACCATGTGTGAATGTATAAAACATAAGACATTCCATTAATATGTAGTTTTTTGTTTTTATAGATCAGGCAAAAATAAATATATTTAAAAAATACAAACCAACAGCATATGTAACGACCGTAAGCTTTTGTTGACATTGAAAAGTTTCTGTAGAACTTCACGCACAGTTGAGTCTTCTGAGAGAGACTAAAAAATACAAAAGAAAACAATAAAATAAATCAAAATTAAGGATAATGTAGTTTAATCCCAAATTTCCAATCTAATAATAAAAAAAAATCTAGTCAAACTAGTGGGATGGTGGAACAGAATGTAGCACAAGCACAATACAAAATGAGTTATACTTGAAAAAAAGGGGAAGTATTAAGTGAACATAATGGGAAAATTATGGAGAGCTGTAAGAACATGAGCAGAAGCAAGATTATGGCAGTAACAAAAAAGGGAATTATAATATTCCTTAAGTACAGTTATTTGCAAAAGGACAGTGCAGAAAGAAAAAGAAATCCTAACTGAATCCAATTACAACTGTTGGGAGGACGTATCAACAAGAAAAAAACATAAAGATAACTATTGTGGGGTTGAGGAGGACATAAGATGTGGTCAAGAAGGGAGACTTCAGTTATAATTAAAGTAGTAGATGTTAAAAGGAGCAAAGAAAAAGTGACACTAAGGCCTGGAAGAATGCACAAGACACCACAGCAATCTAGAAAACAAGATGCATTTGTTATTTTGATTCTTGCTGAGGAAAAAAAAAAAAAAAAACGTAACCTAAAAGCAGCTTACAGGTCCTTTTGGTCCTCCTTTTGAATGGTACAATCCAATATGGAGTAGAAGACATGATGGTAGGGGCTTGAGGCAGCATGTGTCAATATATAAGCATTGTAGCAGGAAGAAGGAAGTGATGAATGCGATTTCATAGCTCAGTTCCCCTTTTCTCTTTTCATACCATATGGAACTCCAGCACACAAAATGGTGGCACCCATATTCACAATGGGTCTTCTCTTTCTAGTTGAAATTTTTCTGGGAACACACTAATAGATACACACAAAATGTGTTTCCATGGTGATCTAAACCTGAAGTATATTTCCATGGTGACATGAAGATTAACTATCACACAAGTGAAGAAACTTCAAGAGGGAAGTAATAATCAACAATTCAACCTACTTTGTAAAACTACACTGAGGTACACTAAGAGGACGCCAATGGATAAAAAACTATGGAGACCAATAGGTCACTTTGCTAAAGCAAGATATAAAAGAGTCAAATAATTTTAGAGAATGGGGATTGAATGGAAGGTAAGGAAACAGCACTGAATAAGACACTAGATGAAAAGAATGAACTCAAAGGTGACAGAGCAAGGAAAGATGCAGTAACACTTGGCATAATTTTTCACATATTATCTGCTTTATATAATAGTCCCTTTTCCTTAAAGAAGTTAAAACAAAAACAGTAACAAAATAATAACCCAGCATGGCAAGTTATAATCATAGTAGCCTTAGTGGCACAATTATTATGAACTAGATTTATGACCCACTCCACAGGAGGCCCATGCCTAGTACTATAAACAGCTAAGAACCTATGGTTGGGGACATCCTAGGGGTAAACCTAATTCTACTATTCTGTTATATGATCTCTGTATCAAACTGCCCTCTAAATTCTCTGCTAATTAGTAAGCAAAGGGTAAATGAGTGGTTGGAGTTCAGCCAGAAATGTGACATCTATATATTACACCTCCTCCCCAAAGTTCAGAAACCATCTCAGAAGAGGGCATGGAAATATTTTAAGAGCCAGACGGCAAGGGAGGACCAGAGTAGAACTGTTGTATTCATGAACTCATAGCAGCTGATATTATCTGGACAAGATCAAGCCAGTTAGCATTCTAGCACTGGATGGGAAGGGGTTCATGAGGCCCAGCTCTAGCTGAGAAACTAAGACAGGTTCTAGGAGAGGTAGTTATTTGTTCCTGACAGGCTGACCAGTCTCCAGCAGATGGCCCCATAATCAAGAGTATATGGACAGCACAAATATGACAGTGGGTCATGAAAACAAAAACAGATGACCAAAAGACACTCTATGACACTTTCAAAAAAAAAAAAAAAACCAAAGACTTCTAAAAAACAAACAAACAAATATAAAACCTGCTAAAACACCCAAAACCATAACAAAAACTAAATGTTTATATCTTTACTACAGATTTTTTGCTTCTTTCACCTCAAAAGTATTTAATTTCAGGAATAAGCTACTGTCTCTTGAAATTTCAGGCTCTCATTGCATTTATTTTTCTAGTTAAACCTTCAATTTACATTTCTTTAAAAGGGCTTGTCAAAACTACAGACATCTTAAACAAACAACCTCTGCAAGATCAGCACTGAAGTAGTGGCTAGCTCCCCCAACCACATTTACCACCACATCCCCACCCAAAAGAGGGACTCTGCCCATGGTGCTGACAGACTTCCAAGTACTGCATCCAGGGATAGTGCTAGGTCTCCTTTAAATATCAAAGCTGTAAGTCTGTCACAAGAAAAAAGATCATTATCACTTAGGTTTGGTTGGGGGCTATAAAGCCTGAAACCAACACATAGCAAAAATAAAACAAAATTAGAAAGCTGAGAGTAGGTGGTCAGATAGTCACACTTGAGGGTAACAACTAGAGTTGTACCCAATAGCTTGGTATCCTGCTTGGATGCAGTTAGGTCCCCACCCAAAAGAGGGACTCTGCCCATGGTGCTGACAGACTTCCAAGTACTGCATCCAGGGATAGTGCTAGGTCTCCTTTAAATATCAAAGCTGTAAGTCTGTCACAAGAAAAAAGATCATTATCACTTAGGTTTGGTTGGGGGCTATAAAGCCTGAAACCAACACATAGCAAAAATAAAACAAAATTAGAAAGCTGAGAGTAGGTGGTCAGATAGTCACACTTGAGGGTAACAAGAGAAACTAGAGTTGTACCCAATAGCTTGGTATCCTGCTTGGATGCAGTTAGGTATGAGGGAACCAAGAAAACTGTAGGTGTGTCTTGATAAGTGTGCTTCCCAATGGACAAATGATTCTTTTGTGGCTAAACATTCTTGAAGTTGAAGTTAGTTGTTCTGACCATATCAGAAACGGAGGTGCCAGGAAACTTCCACATACTAATTAAGGGCCTGCATCCTCAAAAGAGCCTGATGTTTCAGAGAGTCTGGATGTTTCAAAAGGATCTTAGGAAATAACCGAAAAGGAGATCTGGTTCGCCATGATTTGCCAGGAGGAAGAGAGTACCTCTAACTACTCTTGCCATCCACAAATATTCAGAAAACCTGAAAGGACTCAATGAGTCAATTCAGTGTTTGAGGCATCATGTTCCAGTCTCCTCCTCTCCGCACCCCCCCCCCCCCCACACACACACCCAGAAGTAACATCCTAGTTTGTGGTATGAAAAGTTACGGTATTTTAGGGTGTAACCACCGAAGCATTTCTGTATATCACTGGACTACTTATATTGTACTGCCTAACACATTGTAAATGTTATGTAAATAGGTTTTTGTTTTTTGTTTTTTTTTTTGTAGGTTGGTTTTTGCCAACCAGACACAAGCTAAAGTCACCTGGGAAGATAGGCTCTCAACTGAGGAACTATCTCAACCAAACTGGTCTGTGAGCATGTCTGTAGAGGCATTTTCTCGATTAATGATTGAAGTGGGAGGGCTAGCTCACTGTAGGCAGAACCATGCCTGGGCAGGTAGTCCAGGAACATATAAGAAAGCAAACTGAACAAGGTAGTAAGTAGCATTCTTTTATGGCCTGCCTTCTGGTTCCTGTCTTGGCTCCCCAATGAGTGACTCTAACCTGAAAGCTATATAAATCCTTTTCACCTGAAGTTGCTTTTGATGTCAGAATATTCTATTATAGCAACAGAACTAGATCATTATTATACTGCATTATTAAGGGAATAACAAAAGCCTATATATGCTCAGTATGAGCATATATTTTATTGTTTAATTTTCATTTGTGGCTGAATCTCAAGATATAGAGCCCATGGATTTAAAATTATAGACTCATAATGCAACATAGATGGATGATGGCCTTGGCTGTAAAGTCACCTTAAGAAAAAAGAATAAATAGACACAGAAATAATAAAATCAGTGGAAAAGAAGACATTTAAGTATGAAAAACTGCATTCAAATCCCTAAGAAACATAATGGAATAAGACTATTAGCTCAAGAGCTATATAAGGGCAATTTTTGTGATGCACTGAGAAGTGAAGCAAGTAGCCAGAGATCTAGATGTTAAAACCCAGAAAACAGTAAGAAAAGAAATAATGCAGATGACAAATAACATCCTCCCATAGAAAGAGGTCTTAAATCAGACACAGTATCACAATAAAACTTGCCTAGTTAACTAAATAATCTCCCGAGTCCCATGCAAGATTAGTCTCGTGGAAGGGAATATCCAAAATTAAAACTAGGATATTATAAACTTTTACATAGTCTGTTGTATTATATGTAATAGTTGTGATGGTCTATACTGACTGAATGGCCACTCTAGGTTCACATATTTGATTGCTTAAGTCACCATGGAGTGAAACTGTTTGAAATATTAAAAGGAGTCAAGGCCTTGTTGGAGGAAGTGTGTCACTGGAGTGGGCTTTGAGTTTTTCAAAGCCCATGCCTGGCCCAGTCGCTCCCTCTCCCTCTCTCTCTGCTTGTGGATCAGGATATATCTCTCAGCTACTTTTCCAGCACCATGGCTGCCTGCCACTATGCTCCCTGAAATAATAATAATAATAATGGACTACCTCTCTCAGACAGTAAGCCAGCCCCCAATTGAATGCTTTTCTTTATAAGAGTTGCCTTGATCATGGTGTCTCCTCACAGCAACAAACAATGACTAAGACAACATCCATTTCAATTCACCAGCCCACTGGGCTGGGGTCCTGGGTTGAAAAGGAGAGAGCAGAGTCCTGAAAAAGAAATTCATCACTCTGTTCTTGATTGCAGGTGCTGTTGATAAGCTTCAGTCTCCACGTTTTTCCCACCACTATACCCTCAAACTCAACTACATACTCTCAAAATAAACTCTTCTACTTTAAATTGACTTCCCCGTGTAGTTTGTTACAGCAATAATTACTATATAAGTGGGGAAGTAACGAAACAGAACAGAGTAAAAATAAAAGAAGTCATATGTAAGCACAGAACTCTGGGTATAAGACAAAATTTAAGTTTGCAAGTAAAGCCTAAAATATTATAAACAAAATAAGATGGATTAGGATAGAATGTAGTGGTAGTCTGGTTGCCTAGTACACACAAGAGAGATGCCATAGCTTGGATAATCTCTTAATAAACTAATGCAACAAAGCTGAAGTCATTTATGAGAAATGGAAATAAAAATATGTATAGGATAAGCATGAACTGTCAATACAGTCTCTTGTCATTTGCAAAACAGAAAATAAAACTTAAACTATGTAAATTTGCTAAAACATTACCTAATTTGTAAACGAGATAGACAAAAACTTCAACTACTGACAAGAGTGCTAAAGCTTAATCTGAAGTTCTTCTGAAAAAGACATAATTTAGGTGGCAAGATATGTCTATTACACTTAAATAACAAAAATTGTATAATTTCATTCCTCTAGTAACATGAAAAGATATACATTTCTTTGCCACTATTATTGCATTCAACTTGCCTGAGTATTCTCATTCCACCTTTCAGCAAAAACTTTATTTGGGAATTCTTCAGGTAGAGATAATTGTTCTTTAAATATTTTCATATATTGTGGAAAATCAAATGAATTCATTAAATGTATCTGTCGGTGAGAAAACCGTGACTTCACTCTTTTTTCCAAGAGTTCCAGAATATCCTTGAAAATAAAGAAGAAATCTGTAATAAGAAGCATGTTGAAAAACATGCTATTAGATATTAGATAATAAGCAAACTATAGCCTGTAGTTAGCAACATTTATTTACAGTCTACCAGTAAGCATTTTAAATTGAGAGAAACTGAATCAGGGGTTCTCAACCTTCTTAATGCTGCAACCTTTTAATACAGTTTCTCATGTGCTGACCCCCAACCATGAAATTATTTTTGTTGCTACTTCATAACGGTAATTTTGCTGTTACGAATTTCAATGTAAACATCTGATATCCAGGAAGATCTTAGGTGACCCTTGTGGTATTCAAGTCAAAAGTTGAGAACCTCTAAACTACATTCCTTTCAAGGAAACCAGTAGTTTGGTTTCCTGCCCAGATATCAAGTGGTACATTCCCAAGTCTATACTAAGGACACTCAAAACAGTGACAATTCCTGAACTCAGTGTTTTGCACAGCCTATAAAAAATTCACATAAAAATCTGAGGTAATAAAAATCAGAGATATTCGTGATTGTTACTTTTTTTTTTTTTTTTTAGAAGGTTTTTCTGTGTGGCTTTGGAGCCTGTCCTGAGTGCTGAGATTAAAGCAAAATAAATCTTAAAAAAAAAAAAAAAAAAAAAAAAGACAAAAGGCAAGTCTCTCTCAATGAACCCAAGGCTTGCCTATTTAATTAGATTCACTTGTCTCTCTACCTCCCCAGGGATGGTTTACAATGGCCCACCAATCACATACGGCTTTTTGTATGAGTACCAGAGATTGAACTTAAATCCTCATGCTTATGGAGAAAGCCATTCCACTTTCACCCAAAGGGTTTTTTCTTATGTGTATGTGGTGTTCTTTGCATATATATTCCTGTAAATGTATGTGTGGAGACCTAAGTTTGATGTCAAGAGTATTCATCATGGCTTTCCATCTTTCTTGCTTACTGAAGCATAGTTTTTCCATTGAACCCAGAAGTCCACCAACTAGGCTTGTCTGGTCAGGTAGCCCGACCCAAAGATACTTTCTAGGCCTTCAGTTCTGCCACTGCAGGGAGGCTTCAACACCCTGCTCACCAGGGTTTGACCTTTGTTCCTCATACTTGTCCAGCAGGTGTCATAACCACTAAGCCCTCAGCCCACTCCCACATCACTAACCTCTTCTTTAAAGCAAAAAGGCATTTCTTTTATCCAGGTGACAGCTTTTGAGTAGTGGGGGGATACAGAATATCAAGGATAGAGACAAACTATCAGCCAAAGAATGATCTAAAAGGACACAAAGCATACTAAGTATAAGAGGATGTCAAAGACAGAAATTTCAAAGAAAAGCAGTAGAAACAGAAAAATTTCATAGAATATTGGAAGGACTGTTGAAAGATGAGTTGGAAAACAGAAGTTTTACAGAAAGGAAAGAAAAATAAATAAATGAGCCAGCCTGACATAAGCTTATGAAGAAAGGAGATGGGTGGCAGAGAACATGAAGAAACCTGGAGAGACATGGCAGTTATAATAAATTAGAGAAAAGGTGATTGCCACATACTTTTACATGTATACCAGAGCACCAACAGTAGACACAGATGGCCCTGATAGTATAATCCTGTAATTTGTGCCACTCAGAAAAATCCTAAATTGCCTGAAATTCTTGAGTTCAAGGACAGTCTGAGAAACGAGTGAGATTTTTCTATAAAAACACTGAATATAGTTCAGTTGTAAGAAAGACTGCCTACTATGTGTAAGGTTTTATGGTTCAGTTCTCATGACTGGACATGAAAAAAAAAAGGTTAAGAACAAAAAGACTCACTTAGCTATCTAAAATTATCAATACTTAGAATCCAGATGAGATCATTTTAAAATACACCCCAAACAAAGAATCCACTCTACAGTTGTTAAAGATTGATAGAAATCTGGATATTTATTTTTATTAAGTTATTTCAAATGAAAATAATCTTGTATGATAAAGTAAAAAATACCCATCTTTATAAAATATTACTGGTGTTAACTGTTTCTTTACTCGCTACAATAGAAATCTCACTTATTAGTATTTGTGGGTTGTATTCCATGATTTCATTGGTAAGATTAAAGCATGGCTTTTAGTATATGTATCAATTCTTTCCTTGTTTTCCTCAAGCAAAAAGCAGGATCAAGGAATAAAGAATTCAAGAAAGATAATTTTCAAAATATCTTCAAACTTATTCAAGTAAGTATGCATTTTCTAAATTTAAACTTTACGATTTTTATTTTTAATGAAAAAACTTACCAATCTACATGTAAGACCAATAACTGCTACTGGTGTCTGTGCAGATTGAGAAATGTCAAAAAGATTATAAAGGAGTGTCTGGTTTTTCTGATGAGCAAAAAGATCAAATTCATCCAGTATGAAGATCACTGGGCAACTGTTAGCACGGTTACCTAAGAAAAAAGTGGCAGCTTCAGATTAACAAGAAATTACATCAACCTTTCTTTTATTCCCAAAATGAGATACTTCAGTTTAAAATTGAACTCAACACAAACCACTCAGAGCAGGGCACTTACAAATGCAGGCTCACTCATGTAAAGATATCTACAGGACAAAGATAACTGTTTTTGTTCTAAAGTATATTACCATCTAGTTACACGAGTCTAGCAGTTTGATGAGGAAAACTAAGAAAGTCATTTGCAAGATAGCTTTATAATTATGTAAGTGTAGTTCCTTAATAATTACAAAGATGACTTTCCAATACCATCAAACAATTCTGGAATATAAAAGTAGTCAATAATGAATAAAAACTGTTGCAAAAGAGACATATTTAGCTAGTAGAGAAATAGACAATGCACCTTCCCACTTAAAGTTTTCGATACACATACCCAATTAGAATATGAAATGCAATTAAAAAAAACACTAAAATTCCTTTAACTACAAGTTTTAATATTTCAATCAGATTTATTTACCCATATAATAAAGCATTTAATTTTGGCAAGAAAACAAACTAGCATAAAACAAAGCAAAACAAAAAAACACCAAAACAAAGCAGAATTAGGAAATAGTACAGAAACAGTATTTGTAAAAGATAGCCAGTATCTCAATAGGGAAAATGGTTTATCCAGCATCAAATCACTGCATATAAAAATAAATCTGTGGCCTTGCTGGCATATACAAGCAATTCTAGCTATATAGAAGGTAGATGCTAGATGATAGGGAGTTTAAGAGTCAGCCTTGGCTATAAAGTGGAGCCAAGGACAGCCTAGGCCACATGAGATGCTGTCTCAAGAGAAAAAAATCAAGCCAAATTACCATTTAGAAATATGTGTATTAAAAGGGAATATTGGTGATGGATTTTTATAATTTGAAGGAGAGAAACATATCTTTTAGGTAAAAGTAGGTATGTAGAAACTTAAAACTTCTATTCAGTTAAGCACAAACTAAATTTAAGGCAACAAAGCATAAGAAGTTCTGTAAAATGGTAAGAGACAAATATCACCAAAATAGGGTGAAGTGTCAATAGGAAATAACAATAGTCAGTCAAAACATCAAACAAGTAGCCATCACTACAAACCAGGGTATGCAAATTAAGTAACAAAATTATACAAATGAAACTGACATTGGCTTCTTTTCTACAAGATAGCTAAAGATGAAAATTACTATTTCTGAACTCTGGGAAGAAAAAGGATTCTGAAGCATGTTTCAAAGACAGTTAAGCAATATTCTTTTCAACATAGTACAATTTAATCCAAATATCTACTCATTACAACCTAACTAGACAAAGACATACAAATAATTATTTAAACATTTACAATCCTTTTACATTAAAGAATGTAAGACAACCATAATTGCCAAGTAACAGGCAAAATGATTTTATTCTTGTTTGTCCGAGACATAGTCTTATTCATACTGTCCTTGAGCTCATATTCTTCCTATCTTGATCTCCCAAGTGCTGTGACTACAGGTAATTATAGTTTTTTTATATTTTGCTTATTATTAGTGCTGATGTCAGAGGGTGGTATGTGTGTGTACAGGCTCTAGCGTGTTATGTGCATGTGTGGAAGTCAGAGGATACAAAACCTTCAGAAATAAGTTTTATTATTAGTGTGAGTCACGGTAATATGTGTGTGTGCAGGCTCAAGCATGTTATGGCATATGTGGAAGCCAGAGGAAAACATTCTGGGAGCAAACTCAGGTTGTCAAGCCTGTGTGGGATGCACAATTACTTGTTAAGCCATCTTATTTTATCCTTATACTGATTTTATCCTTATAAAAAGCTGCGTCTATATCTATATCAATGGTATGTGGCAGCTGACTAAAAGGAAAACAGCAAACACTGAAATCATTACAGTGGTGGCACTACAGTGGCTTATTAGTTTAATTCCTGTATCCTTTTTTTTGGGGGGGGGCTAAAAACTTTTAATATTTAAATCATCTGAGAAGACATATAGTTCAAAATAAGTATTTTTTGATAATTCTACATTTCAATTTTTTACAAATATCTTAAACATGTACCTTTTTTTAAAGCTTCCAGAAGAAATGAAAGGTTTTCAGCAAAGCTTCCCTAAATAACAAAAATAAAGAGAAGACTGAGGTTTAATAATATGAACAAGGCCGAATCTTAAAAGATTTTTATAAAAAATAATTCATTGCTATTACTAGGAAATGAGTAATTGAATAGATTCTCAGTTGAGTTATATCCACATTAGTTATCTATAACTTAAATATAAAAGTAGGAAAGGTAAAGCCCTGAAAATTATAGCACTATGTTACATGTGAAATTTCATATTTTCTGAGCAATACTGGTAGAAATGTTAGAAAAGAGTAGTTTTTGGAGGGCTGCTATATTCTAAATATAGCTGGGGACTAGAAAGGCATTCCATTTATATCTTTAAACACAACACATTTCTCCTACTTTCAGTTTGTGCCACCAAAAAACTTAGAATCAATTAAAATCAGATCCAAAAAGAAAAAAATTGCTTAAAATATTAAACACAATTTTTCTACTTATGAATACCCATTACAAATCTGTTTATTACATCAAATTTTTCTGTTTATTTGGAATACATATAAAATATTCTTGGACATAATTTAAACATTCTTGAAGAAATCATTTTGAGAGTAATGGCTAAGTTATCTAGTTTTCTAGAATTGAAGTAAAAACTACCTTAAAATATTTTCTTATTAAAGTTACCAGTTTGCGTTTATTTAGGTATGACATAAAGGCCAGAGTGCTGGTTTCCTGACCTGGAGTCAGAAACAATTGTGACCCTCCTAATAATATGGATACTGAAAACCAAACTCAGGTCCTCTAGAAGAGCAGCAAGTGAGTGTTACCATTAAACCATCTCCCCATCCCCTCATTCACATATTTTAAGGAAAAAGTCAACTTTAAATTTGAGATGCTATAAAAAGAAAAAAGAAACTACTGGTTCGTTTTCCAACTGAAAGAATCTGATAAAGCATAAACACTTGTAACTTTTTTACATTTATTTTGTTTGCATGTTTGTGCAGCACTTTTGGAGGTCAGAGGACAACTTGCAGGAGCTAACTATTCTTCCACCTTTAAGTGGGTTCTGAGAAACTGAACTTAGTTTGCCAAGCTGGGTAGCAAGCACCTCTACCCACAGAGTCATCTGACTAGCCCAGCATAAATGCTTTTTAAAAATATCCAATTTCAGTAATGATCACATGCTGTTTTGCCAATACTACTACCAAAAGGTAGTATACACAATTTACAGTAACATAACAATGGCTCCAAGATAATCTGTTCAGAAATCAGTGGTCACTTCTGTCTTCTGCTTTGTTCAATAAACTATTATCATTAAGTATACATACATACTTACTCAAATATAAATGTGTATAATAAAGTATATGTATGTATAATAGATACACACACATATATAGTTGTATGATGTACTTATACATACACTGACTGAAAGACTATGAACACAGTCAAGGTTGGCTTAAGTGACTTTTGCTCTTTTTGATCAGACTTCAAACTTAAGAGCTTAGGCAAATTAATTAGTTTCTGCAATTTATATGCCTAATCTATATAACAGAGGAGACTATAAGCTAATAATCAATTAACAGTAACAACAATTCTTTGTTATTGTGGAGGATTGAATCTTGGACCCGCCTTTACACCCAAAGACACCAAAGTATATAGCTGTTCAAACCCTCTATATAAAATGACATAGTATTTACAAATTAACTGTATACCATTGTCCATTACCTCTAGATTTCTCTTAATACCTAATACAGTGCAATAATAGTATCTGCATATTAGTTTTACCAATATGACTAAAATCTAGACAGACCCAACAAGAGAAAATCTCAACAGAAGAACTGCTGCCATCAGATTGGTCTGTGGGCATGTATGTGAGGCATTTTCTTGATTGCTAATTGATATGAACTGCTCACAGTCCCAATCCTGGGCAGATGGGCCTGGACTGAATAAGAAACATAGTTGAGCAAGGCAGTAACTAGAGTTCTATGGTTCTAGACTCTGCTCCTGCTTGAATTCCAGTTATCTGGAAGCATTATTTTACCACCAGATCAGTTTTAGTTACTGTGTTTACCCCAGCAACAGAAAGCAAACTAGAACGTTATCTAGACATATTAGCTCTTGCAATGAACTGTTTGGGGAATAGTAACAGAGTGCAAAGTCTGTACAGGTTCAGTACGAACATGATTATTTTTCTTTGGATATCTTCAGTTTGCAGTTGGTTGCATACAGATACAGGACCTAAACATCCGAACAAAGGAATGACTCTCATGCTGACAGTAATAGCAATGATTAGGATAGTAAAACAACTGTCTTTTCCATTACTTCACATAAACACAGTACCATATGTCCATTCAGAAACATTTGGAAATTAAAAGCTAATAGGAACTCTTTTTAATTAAATAGTAAGCGACTAGCTTAGAATTATATTCTAAATAAAAGGTAGAGCATAGTACTTATAAAAAAGGAACACTTTGACTTTACTCTTCCACAGCTTGTAAAGCAGGGAAGGAGAACATATGGTTGGCTCAACTTTTCTCTGCTGAGGGAATGCAATTCCCAGATACTAAGGGTAAGACCGAACTAGACTCCCTTAATATAGGTGACAATGGTGCGACTGGGAGAATATATGAGGCCGCTGGTAGTGGATCCAAGATCTAACTCTAATGCACAAGGAGACTAAGTGTAGCCCATTCTATATGGAGAGATACCTTGCCCAGCCTAGACACAGATGTGCAGGGGGAGTGGGGTGGTGGTGGTGGTGGAGCAGTGCCTTGGATCTGCCTCAAGGAGATGATGGGACAGACTCAGTAGATTTCCTAGGGGAGGACTTACCCCCTCCGAGGAGCAGATGGTGGGGGAAGGAGTAAGGGGAATAGGAGGAGAGAAGGAAGGGAGAACTGGAATTGGAATGTAAAAAAATAAATAAAAAGATTAAAACCAAAGAAGTGTGCACAGCTATTCTCAGATTGCAGGACACAGCAAACAGTGATTAGGTACGAGTGACAGCACTACAGGGACAGTAGTGGACAGAAATGGACTGGGGATGTATGCATCTAAGCTGCATACCCAATCTCAGATACATTAAGACACGGATAGTACATTAAGATAGTCATGTAAGTTAGGTTAAACAGAGAAGCAGTTTAATGAGAAATTTGAACACTTCAAATTAGACTGAACCACTATCAGTGTCTCAAGACTACAAGACAACACTGTAAGTTGTGGATATGAAACAATAGATATTCATGTAGCACATTACCATCCAGTATTTTATTGCTTTTTTGAGACATGCTTTCTCTGTGTAGCCCTGGCTATCCTGGAACTCCCTCTGTAAGCGGGCTTTGAAGCCAGAGATCCACCTACTCTGCCTCCCACATGCTGCGATTAATGGCGTGAACCACGACCACCCAGCCCATCATCCAGAATTTTTAACCAAGTGGAAATTTAATGCTTACTCCCTTGATCAGAATAATCTTGTAAAATGCACAAAACAAAATCTACTTAATACAAGAACCTGAAATTGAAAGACATTCAATAGCCCAACAGGGAAGCAAATCATAGTAACAAAGTAATAAACTAACCGGCTATGCCATTTTTAGATTCAGCATACATCTATCCACTCTGCCCACGCTACTTTTACTTCAACCAATAATCATAAACATTCATAAAAATCTGAAATGAATGCTTGATGACTAAATATATCCTTATACATTACATCTTTTAATGACAAAAATCTTAAATCAGTTTTTTCTAATGTCTCTCCCAACTTTCCAGAAATAAAACATCTGAAATAATACTTACAAAAACTTTATCTCCAACTACATTTTCTAGATTTAATTGTCTTGTGATCTCCGTAAGAGCAATTTTATCATTTATCTGCATCAGTCCTGAAATACAGCCCAATTAAAAGTGTCTAATTAAAATGATGCATTTACATGGATTATTTTCCAGGTAAATATGTTTCTTAATGCTTTTTATATTTAACTTGAGAGAAAATAATCATCCTGCTAGTAGGTCATATTAATGCCTATAAAAAAATGATAAAGAACCATTCCTTTGAGACAATATTGCTTAAGAAAAAACTACTTTTAAAAAAGTTATAATACATTATCTTTTATTTAATTTCTAAAGGCCCTTAAATTTGCATATAGCTTTCAAAATATAATATTTGAACAGACTTTAAAACACAAATGAATTTACTTTCGTAATAAGCAAGCCTATGTAGTTTGCATCATTTCTTAATGGGAATATAATAATATACTCACCGTTTAGATGAACTTGTAACACATTTTCACTCACTTCTCTTATTTCCATGAGTTCTTTCAAAGCATGATTTATTAACTAAATATAAAAATATGTAAAATGTTTAATACAGAAAAGATGAAATGAAGCCACTGTTCTTTTTTAAATCATGAATGCTAAGAATCAAATAAATGAATAAACAAATCACTTTATAGCTAAAAGGTTTAAATATGTAGAACCTATTATGTCTAAGTCTTAAGATACCAGAGCCTTACTGATACTGTAACACCTTATCAAGCTACCCAAACCTGTAATAAACTTTGGAAACAACCCTGAAGTTTTCCATACATTACAGATTAAACTATTGTTCTATATGATCTTTATGTCTCAGTGCATATTACTATTCATATTACATTTACTATTTACATTTGCTCTACTAGTTAACATTTGGTACCTAAATGGCCCCAAAAATCTTGTTCTCTAATGTCAATTCTATAGAATGCTGTTAAATACTATTGTCAAGAAATAAGAAAGATCAATTAGGATTTGCAAATGGCTAAGAGAAAAAAACATACTAAAGAATGTTAGCAGGATATGGTGACACAAGCCTGTAATTGCAGCACTTAGGAGGTGGAGACAGGAGAATAAGAAACTGAAGGTTCAAGTAGACTTGCAATGTGAGCTATATGAAATTCTGCTTCACAAACCAACCAACAAACAAATACAAACAAAAACTACCACCACAAAACAATAAGAAAGTAAAAGTAAAAGGCTGTAATTAAAAGATTACTAATAATAATTTCTATGACAATATACCCAGAAGATATTGCAATGTTTCAAAATGTTTAATTACAGGCTTCACATTTTCTGCATAATGGCTCTGTGCCACATACTTGTATTCTTCTAACATTTGAGGTGCCTTATCAAATCATATACTGTTGCAATCAGCACTGCATACCCATTAAATTTGTAACTGACAAAAATTAAGGAAAACTTAAAATCCTTCAAATGAGGAATAAGGACTATTCAAAACATAAAGGCTCCAGGAAAAGATATAATTAAATTAGAGCAGAGAGACAAGCAAAGACAGAAAAACTATTCAACAAAGACAGAAACATAACTAGTAAACTATTTTTAGAAATAAAATATTTATATTTACAATATGCTGATGCTATCTGTTACCACTACAACACTGTGCAAAAGGACTAGCAAATTTTTATATATATTTTAAGTTGCCGGTTTTCACAAAAAACAGATAGTAAACAGAAACTATTTTTGGTATAGCTTCATGGATTTTCAAGAACAGGGAATTCTACTTTAAGTCACAGGTAACATAGACCTAGATCTCTTCAAAACCAAGTTCTCCAGGTACAACTGTCCAACTACTATAGTAGCCCCAGGTGAGAAGTAACAGTAAAAATACCCATCACGGGCAAGAAGGTGTTTTCTGCCTTTGGATCAGGTCAAACTCTATCATGAGAATATCTGTATATCATACAAACTTGTTCCTTAAAACACTACTTTCAACATATTTTTAAAAAGTAGTGAATTGAGATCTGCCTCCTGACTCTTATATCTCACTGACATCTACATTTTATTTGGTTACCATTTTATGCTTCCATTAATGAATCACACTATTAGAAAACATTTCAAATTCTTTAAAGAATAGACATTAATAAAATTTTCATTTCATAAAAGCATGAAGGAAATTTGAGTACTTTTCTAATGATCTTATCTACACAGACTTACTTCCTAAAATTTGTTCACTACTGTTATGATGGTATATGGTTTACAATAAGCATAAAAAAAGAGTAAATAATGTCCTAGTAAGCAACTGAGGTCTGAGATTTCTGATTCTCTAACTTAGCCACTTATATAACCAAAAATTGCAAAAGTAAAAAAGAAAAGAAAATCATGTCCCAGGATTTTTCCCACAAAACAAAAATTGAGGAAAATCATGCAATTCTAAGGGGAAGAAGAAAACAACAACAAAACCCCAAAATTTGTAAGCAATAATATTATCCCCACTCAGTAAGTTATGCAAAACAACTAAAACCACAAATGTATTTACATAGTCCTCTTGTTAAAAAAACAAAAACAAGCTGGGAGTTGGTGGCGCATGCTTTTAATCCCAGCACTCGGGAAGCAGAGTCAGGCTAATTTCTGAGTTCGAGGACAGCCTGGTCTCCAGAGCAAGTATCAGGATAGGCTCCAAAGCTACACAGAGAAACCCTGTCTCGAAAAACCAAAAAACAAAACCAAAAAAAAAAAAACAAAAACAAAAACAAAAACAAACAAACCCCCAATTCTACTAAGTCATGTGCAAAAGAAAACTATAATTGAGCACAAGGACCAAAAAAATCTTAGAAGAAATGTGAAAATTCTTGAAACAGTAAATAAGTTATTAATAACTGTTTATGCGCTTTATACAATGGAAATAGTAGCAAAAAAAACTAATTTACTCATCCTACATAATATGGTACCAACACATACTGCTTTAAAAAAGACATAATTGTAATTTTACTAATTTAAAAGTGTATTAATAAGACACTAAAATCCATGAAACAACATTAATTTGGTATTATAAAATATAAGAAAAGTAAAACTTATACAATTAAGCACCTTAAAAACTAAATAAGAGAGAGAGAGAGAGAGAGAGAGAGAGAGAGAGAGAGAGATTGATTAACCTAACTTTGAGGTCTGAAGTAAAGAATACCTAAAAAGGGAACACGTCTAGGAAAAGACGGCATGGAGGGTAACGTGTCTACTGTAAAGCAGGTGGTCCTGAGTTGGGATCCTCAGAACCCATGTGTGGCAACATGTATTTATACTCTTAGTGCCAATGGAAGGAGACAATAGAATTGCTGAAAGATTACAGGAAAATATACTGAGCAGAGAACATGAAAGAGAATGACCCCCAATCTCAAATTAGGTGGAACACAAGGACCAAGGATCAACATCAAAGTTATCCACTGATTATACTCCCCATGGCATTATGTGTGCATCCCCTACTGCCCCCCCCACACACAAGGGCACAATGAATGGGCAGTACATGATCAGTACTGCTTATTTCTTTGTCAACTGGCCATCTTTAATATAATAACAAAGGACAAAAGACAATAACAGAACAAATATTGAGAAAAAAAAAAACAATCTTGTCACTGTGAGGAAAGATAGGTTTACAGTAAAAAGCATGATCAATACTACATCCTAAATTTGCAAGATTTCTACCTATCTTTTGTGATTTACAAGGAATAGAAAACACAGAATGTTGCAATATAATGAAGTGAACAACATTTTCAGTGTCATCTGATGTAAGAAACTTCAAATGTCTAATAAAGCATGAGAAACTTAATTGTTTACCATGGTTTTTCCTGATCCTCTTGGTCCAACAATAAGTACAGAATTACTTTCTCCATTGATAGCAGTTCTTTTGAGTAGCTCAATTAAATGCCTAAAATGACATGAAATGGTGAAAAATTTAAAAATAAAGGTATAATAATTTACTAGCCTTTAAAAAGCTAAATTTGAAGGTATACTTTCTCTCCTTTGGGCTCTCTAGACTGTGAGGATCTAAATTTTCCTGTACAGAACACAGAGAAAAGAGCACAGTCCAGTTGAGACTTTCTAGAGACCTGAAGAGGAAACCCAGGAAGGTTGGAATTTATCAGGTTTGATAGTTGTAGAAGATAAGGGACAATCATGATAATTTTTAGGTCCCCTGGGCTTTGAGGTAACTTTGGTAGCATTCTAGTGATCAGTAACTGAACTGGTTGCCAGGTATTAAGGACAAGAGTGGCAGAACGGTCAGATAATAGAAAAGAAGTACTAAGGGACCATTTCACTATATAAGCACTTGTATGTGTTCATGTTCTTAATATTCAGCATTTCTATATATAAAACATAACTTCAACATCATCATTTAAGATAAAAATCTGTGTATGACTAGGATTTCCAAAACTTGTAAAGTAAATGTAAATATATTTATAATAGAGGACAGTTAGACTTACTTGTATTGTACTTGCACTCCAAATAAATTACTATGTGGACTCTGATGACAAAATCTTTCACGTAAAATTCTTTGTACCTGATAGATATAAGATGCACAAAATCAAAATATTACACATGCACAGCCGGGCGTTGGTGGCGCACTCCTTTAATCCCAGCACTCGGGAGGCAGAGGCAGGCGGATCTTTGTGAGTTTGAGGCCAGCCTGGTCTGCAGAGCGAGCCAGGATAGGCTCCAAAGCTACACAGAGAAACCCTGTCTCAAAACAACAACAAAAAAAACCAAACAAAAAAAAAAACAAAACAGCAATAAAAATGAAAGTTTATTTGTAGCAGCCAGGAATTCAATAAATACTGCTCTGGCATCATTTTTGTAAGTTATAAAACTAGATTCTTCATGTATCTAGTCTCAGGTAAATAATGAGAATTTGGTTGTGAACATGTCCGTGAATGGGAGAACTACTGCAATGTATAACCAACTTGAAGGTTATTCCAATGTACATGAATAAGTCTTTTCCTTGTGTACAATGTCATCCAAAGAACAAACACTACAAGAAATCTAACAATGCAATCCAATCCAATAATTAATGCCAGTGCAACAACACAGTCAAGTCTATCTAGAGATTAACACATCTAAAACAGCTTACCTTAGTCACTATGGATCTGTACCTGTCTTAAAGTCAGGATTCTGTATAAAACTAAATACCCACTAGATTTCAAGCACAGAAATATTACAAGGATATGATTAACAAAAGATTCTGCAAAAAGGCAGAAATGACAAGTTCAAATTAAAAACTACAAAACAGTATTAGATCAACCTAAAAGTCAGTTTATGTGAAAGAAATGGATGTAGTTCCATGACAAACCTACTGTTTAGCATATATGCCCAGACCCTGGTTTCAACCACCATTACTGCAAAAACAAATAAATACTTAAATAAGTGAAAAAGAAATAGAAAAGTAAGACATCACTGGAGCAAACTAAAAAAAAAAAAAAAAAAATTGTTAAAAGTAGCTATGTTTTCAAATTGGTCTTAGAATTACTGTCTTAGACTTAGTTGGGGAGAAAAAAAATGTCAAAATAATCAAGTAGTCTTAAAATTACTCCTTTCCTGGATCAGGTGCTAATACAACAGTCATTCTGGGACAATCCTCAGGTAGCTAGCTAAGAAGACTGCAGGATTATTTGTTTCTCTCAGACTAAGCTGTCAGATATGAAGTACAAAGATAAAACATGAATTTTTTTTATGTCTAGTAGGAAAAAATGATTCACGTTTATTATTTTAGATGAAGTACAAACAGTAATGGGATTGGTGCCAAAGTCATTTAAGTGACCATTAAAAAGGCTTGAGTCAGGGGAAGAATAGAAGAAAGGAGGTACCATAATAGAGGGAGACACTTTAGTTTTACAGAGAAATCAAACATTAGGGAAAGGTCTGGAGATCTACAAAGATAACACCAACTAACAATCTAAGCAACAGAGGAGAGGCTACCTTAAATGCCTTCCCCTGATAAAGAGACTGATTTTTGTCTTATATACCATCCTATAGCCTTCATCCAGCAGCTGGTGGAAGTAGAAGCAGACACCTATCACTGAACTGAACTGGAATCCAGTAGCAGAGAAGGATGAGTGATGAGCAAAGGGAGACCAGGCTGGTGAAACCCACAGAAACAACTGACCTGAACAACGGGGAGCTCTTGGGATAGCCTGGGATACCAGCATGGGACTGTTCCAGACCTCAGGAACATGGGTTTCAATGAGGAAACCTCGGAAATCTACAGGACCTCCTGTAGTACTTCTGTACTTATCCCAAGCATAGGTGTGGACTTTGGGAGCCCAATCCACATAGAGGGATACTCCCTAAGCCCACGGGAGTGGGCCTATGCCCTATCCCAAAGGATATGAGAGAATCTGATGATCCACCTATGGAAGGCCTCATCCTCCCTGGAGAGGAGAAAGGATATGTGATAGGTAGGGTTTTGGTTGGGGGGTTGGGGGGGATGGGGGAGGTGGCAGGGGAGGCGGGGAGGGAGTGAGAACTGGGATTGACATGTAAAACAATCTTGTTTTTAATTCAAATAAAAAAGATTGAAAAAAAAAAAAGTCAAGTCTTTTCCAGATCTTAACAACTAAACAAGGAAGTATTAACACTTTTGGATCGGGCCTATTTTGAAGTTATCTGTAATACAATACAGGAATTATACAGGTAATAGTTAATACTTATTAACTATTAATCACTAAATGGGCCACAGATATCTAAAGAATCAATGAATTATAATCTATTCCTCTATATAATTAAGATCACCATAGGGCCAGGCGTTGGTGGCACATGCCTTTAATCCCAGCACTCGGGAGGAAGAGGCAGTCGGATTTCTGTGAATTCAAGGCCAGCGTGGTCTCCAGAGCGAGTGCCAGGATAGGCTCCAAAGCTACACAAAAAAACCCTGTCTCAAAAAACAAAAACAAACAAACAAACAAAAAAGATCACCAGAAATAAACAAACCTCAACCCTTTCCTTAAATAAAAGAAAATCTCATTAAAATTTATTGGATAGGAAACTATGCATAAACACAAACTAGGGAATAGGAAAAAGGAAACGAAGCAAGACTGAAAAATTCCAAAGTAATTGGAATGTAGGTTAAACAGGTATTTAGAATCAATTCATGGAAGAACTATTCACATACAAGAACACTAATTATCTTTTAAGCAGTAATTTTTTCTTAAAAAAGAAAAACGAGGTTAAGGTTGAGTAGATGGCTCAGTTGGTAAAATGTTTGCTGTGCGAGTATGGGGACATGATTTCTCAACATCCACATAAAAAGCCAGGTTTGTAACTCTAGGCCTGGAAAACAGAGACAGGAAAATATGGAGCTTGCTGATCTGTCAATCTAGCCACTTGGCAAACTCCATGTCCAACAAGAGACCTCATTTAATGACAGAGAATGACAGAGGAAGATACTTAGCATCCATTACTGTTTCACATACACATACATAAAACACAAACATATAAGAAAAGAGGGTCTTTATAAGTCTGTCAAAATCTGTCAATGATTTTTAAAAGTAAATGTGACTGCAGTCAACTCACATACACACTAGGGCAAAATTATCATGGATTATAAACTTCTTGGGGGAAGCACATATACTTACACACTTAGTATTTGAAATACACTGTGCTTTTAAGATAGTATATAGCATTTAGTATAAGAATACTCAACAAACTAAGAATATAAAAGGGCTCTCTCAGATTGGTAAGGGAATCACCAAGGTAGGGTGGAGGATTGAATGTCTTTTTCCCTTTGCTATCAGAAGCATGTGGCTAAGGATAGTACTTGTCTTGCATGCTCAAAGCTCTGGTGATATGCCCAGCACTGACTTTCCACCACCAAGGCCAGCACATTCAAACTAAAAAGGAGAAAATAAAAATTCAACATGTAATGTTGAATTAAAAAAAATCCAAAAAACAGTAACATTTAATGAGTTCTGCAATGTTAGTATTAACTTTATTTCTATGAACTAAACTTAAACAAAGATGAAATTAAGAAGCATCTAAAAAAGTAAAAACAGTTTAGAATATATTTAATAGCAGTGAATACCTTGTATGAGAATATTTAAATTTAAACCAGAGTATTTTTGAAAGACATAGTAAAAGTTAGGATACAGCTATCTAAATTCAATGGGTGAAGTTATACAGCACTTCCAGATACAAATATAAAACAAACTTTATGGGTCAAAAGCCTTCAAGAACTTCAATAATAAAAACATGATGTGTCATTTCACAAATAATTATCCAATTTCTACCTATGGTTTTCAGGAAAAAGTGATAAGGAAAAAAATCAGGTGAAAAAGGTTATTTCTTTCTGATCATCTTTATCAAGGATTTTAGATTGAGGAACAAACATACTAACCTGTGAAAGACATTCTGGATGTACTGCACTGTTACCCTTGGTTTTACGATTGCTCATTTCGACCAACTCAAATCCTAAATAAATAAAAAAAGATGAATAAACACTATCTTCTTTAAAAGATCATTCAAAAATTACATTTACAGAATCAGATACAAATTCTTTTTTTTTTTTAAAGATTTTATTTATTTATTATGTATACAACGTTCTGCTTCCATGTACTTCTGCACACCAGAAGAGGGCACCAGCTCTCATAATGGATGGTTGTGAGCCACCATGTGGTTGGGAATTGAACTCAGGACCTCTGGAAGAGCAGCCAGTGCTCTTAACTTCTGACCCATCTCTCCAGCCCCAGATACAAATTCTTAAATGTAAAACATGCTTAAAAATTTCAAAGGGAGGAGTGGATGGCGAGGATGGTGTTGACCTGGGGGGGGGGAGGGATAGGCAAGAAGGATGGGAGACCTTTGGTTGGAACGTAAATGAAATAAAAAATAAATTTAATAAAAAATTCTAACAAAAAAACCTACAACCGTTTCTATGTGTTAATGTACAGGCTTATTTGGCACTCTCACAATTCACACAGTTCTCTAGATTATTTCTCCGTTCCTCCTGAAGATATAATTCAAGTATTTTTCTTTCATAAAGATTGTTTCTCCTACCCAACCATCAAATAGAATCATTCTTTAAAGAACATGATCCATTTCTTGTTCTACTCAAGAATACTACACAATCTACGCACTAAGTTTTAATGCCTTACTTTCTTAGTCCAAGAAAAAACAACACATGGCTGAATTAAATGATAAAGAGAATTCAGAATTTGAAAACTGAATTCAGTAAAGAAAAATATATAATGAAGACAGCACAAGATTAAATTAAAATGGAACTGAAAACATTCATAGCCCAAGTAGAAAACTCAGAGAAAGAGTAGATTGGACCACAAAATATCAGAACTTCAAGTAGAAGACTTGGACCATGCAAGCAAAGAAAACAACCGGGTCAGGAACAACATGAAAGGACCAAATCTTTTTTTTTTTTTGGGTTTTTTGGAGGGGTTTTTTTGTTGTTGTTTGGGACCCTACCCTGCCACTCGCTCTAGAGACCAGGCTGGCCTTGAACTCACAGAGATCTGCCAGCCTCTGCCTCTGCCTCCCGAATTCTGGGATTAAAGGAGTGTGCCACCAACGCCCAGCCCAACTTTTAAAATAATTAGGCTTATTGCTGGTCATCACTGAAGGAAGTCAGGACAGGAACTCACAGGAGCTGGAAGCAGAGGTCATGAAGTTACATACTGGCTTCCTTCCTTCCAATGGCTTGCTTAGCCCACTCTCTTATAGAATCCAGGGCCAGCAACCCAGGGATTGCACCACCAACCAACATGGGCTGGGCCCTCACCCATTGATCACTAAATGAGAAAATGCTTTACAGCTGGATCTCAAGACCACGTGGACTAGAAAAGAAGTCCTTATTGCATATTGTAAGGTACCTATGAAGGAAACATATCACAATGATAGCTGATTTCTCAATGGAAACTTTGAAAACCAGAAGAGCTTTGGGCTAGTTGTTAAAAGACTACATACAGACGACAACCTACTCTACTGTACCCAGCTAACCTACCTGTAATAGTTAAAGTAGAAAGAAAAAGTTAAGTGAATGAAACAAGTTAAAATAATTCATGTCCTATGTCCAATTAGACAGCTGTAGGTTATTGCCAAGATATAACTTTCACTGAACACTTAGGCATAGTGTATTGGTCTTAGCACCTGTGCTAGTATTACAGGTATCCTGCTCAGAAAATATTTCCTGTGCCAACGAGTTCAAGCCTATTCTCACTTTCTCTAATAGACTCAGGGTTGTCTGGTCTTATGCTGGGGTCCTTGATTCATTGGAGTTGAGTTTTGTGCATGCTGACAAATATGGATCTATTTGCATTCTTCTACATTCAGCCATCAAGTTTGCCCAGCACCATTTGTAGAAGATGCTGTCTTTTCTCCAACATTGTATTTTTAGCTTCTTTGCCAAACAAACAAAAAACAGTGTCCATAGTTGTATGTACTTATGTCTGGGTTTTAAATTCTACTCCACTGATCAATGTGTCTGTTTTCATGCCAATACCACACTGTATTACCTGAAATCTGGGATGGTGATACTGCTAACTTTTTTTTTTTTTTTAATTATTCAGGATTGCTTTGGCTATCTTGTTTTGGGTGCATATGTTTCCATGAGGCTGAAACTGGTTTTTCAATTTCTATGAAGAATTGTGTTGGAATTTTGATGAAGATTGTACTAAATCTGTAGATTGCTTTTGGAAGAATAGCAATTTTCCCAATTATAATTTCATCAATCCATGAGCATGAGGAGACTTTCTATCTTCTGGTGTTTTCTTCAATTTCTTTCTTCAGTGTCTTAAAGTTTTAATTATACAAGTCTTTCACTGGCTTGGTTAGTTTCTTACCTGGACTGATAGTTAATTCACCCAAGAGCCAAAAACAACCTGACAAAAAACCCCAATAGCAGACATAAAAAGCCCTCTTTTGAATTGTTGGCCAGGGCTGTTAAACAGAGTGTTGTCCATGGCTACACCCCTGAGGTTGGAAGCTAAGTCCCTATTGCTGAAGACACCATGCATTTCAGAAACAGAGCCCAGAGACCCCTGAGCTTGAACTGATTTGAATGCCCTCTTCCCCGAGGACTAGTATTCATAGTACCAGAAGGTACCACACAAGCTTCCAAAAGAGAGAACCAACCAACAGTAATACCATCCTATGACAGCTATGTACCATGTCACTAACCACAATGGTGGCACACATTAATTTGGTAGTAACCATATGTTCTCTAACTGAACTAAGACTCATTCAACAAAATGGATACCAGGCCTGGTACTAGAAACCTAATAATTATTCAGAACTAGTGAAATCATGGTTATTTGAGGAGAATCTACAACCACTAATTTACTAAACCAACATAATTCCTAACAACAATCTATAAACACTGTATTTATACACAAAGATATGTGTAGTCTTCATACCTCGTTAAAAAAACTTTTTGAAAAAAGTGGGAATCACTACAGAAAATCACAACTAATCAAATGCAAAGGCAGGGAGCCTAGTTCCAATGGATAAATACACAAGATATTTCAGATATTCCATAACAATATATAAACACTTGTTTTTATACCCAAAACTAATTGTAGTCTTCACATCTCACTAAGAAAACTTCTTGAAAAAGATGGAAGTCACTACAGAAAACCACAACCAACCAAATGCAAAGACATGGAGCCTAATTTCAATGGATACATACACAAAATATTTCAGACACCTAAGACTCATCGAACATTGTGTAAGAGGAGGGGGCAGAAAGATTTTAAGAGCCAAAAATCTCACCAGCATAAGTGCCCAAACTAAGCTAAAAGGATGACATCAATAGGCATTCAAAACTGGACTGGGAAAGGACCATAAGACCTCAGCATTACACAAAGAACTATAGGCAACTTAGGAAAGTTGTGAGTGGGAGAGGTGGTTGTGGTAGTTTGAGTAAGAATGGCCCCCATAGGCTCATATAGGGGTAGCCTTGGAGTAGATGTTGCCTTTTTGAAAGAATGTGTCACTGGAGGGTGGCCTTGAGGTTTCAAAAGCTCTTGCAAGGCCCAGCCACCCCGCCCCTCTCTCTTACCCTCTTGGCCTGAGGATCAATATGTAGTAGCTCTTAGCTACTGCTCCAGAGCCATGCACGCTCTGCCATGATAATGGACTAAACTCGGAAACTGTAAGCAAGCTCCCAATTAAGTTGTTCATACTCTTTCATCACAGTAATAGTAACCCTAACTAAGATAGTGGTTTTCCCCAGGGTAGGAAGACATCAATTGATCATCTGGTGCCAAATGGTCAACTGTGAAAACACACACACACACACACACACACACACACACACACACACACACACACTCACACACACCACGCATGCAATAGACCATATTTAGGACTATATATGTACATGATAACAATTTGTGGAGAAAAAAAACAGGCTATGAATTTGAAGGAGAATAAAGGGGTATGTATATGGGAGGGTTTGGAGGGAGGAAGGGAAAAATGTTCATAAAATTATAATCTTTATAATAAAAGAGAATAAAGAAAATGCTAAGCAAATTGAAAACCACTCTTAGATCCACAAACATACTGAGGTAACAAGGTAAACAGTTTTTTCCCACATTTGAGAAGCACTAACAGATACTGAGGATCTAAATTTAATGGAGCAGGAGCAGAAACTGGATTAGAGATCATTTTAGGTTACTACTGAATGCTCTCACTGTAAAGTGGTGGTTAGCGAACACTAGGTAGGCAGAAGCATGTGGTTATCTGAGCTTGAGGATGGCCTGGGCTACATAGGGAGTTCCAGGATAGTCAAGGCTACACAGAGAAATATGGTCTGGATAATCTGAACAAAAAAATCCTTCAAAAAAACATAGCCTTAGGGAAGTCTATACACTTATCTGCAGGAATTCTACAATTTATCACAGAGAAACACTACCTTTCTGTCGCAGGCATATTCTCTGGGAGTAAGACATTCCCAGAATATGCTACAGTTTTTTTTTTTTTTTTAGGCAGGGTTTCTCTGTGGCTTTGGAGCCTGTTCTATAACTAGCTCTTGTAGACCAGGCTGGTCTCGAACTCACAGAGATCGGCCTGCCTCTGCCTCTTGAGTGCTGGGATTAAAGGAGTGCACCACCATCACCCAGCTGAATATGCTGCAGTTCTTAACAAGACTTGTTTTCAGAAAAACTATTTTGACTAGGAGTTTTATCAGAGGGCCTAATGGTTCCCAGAAGATAAATAACCAACTTCAGAGGCCTCTACTATGTAGCCCAATGACACACACAAAACTTGATATCTAATCATAGAACTATAGAATGTTTCCCTACCTCTACACATTTAAATGGGTTCCTATACCTGACACAGATCTTTATTTAAGAAATGCTAAGCAAAACCTTAAGAAAATATAGGAACAACAGCAAAGCTACAAGAGGAACTTTTAGCTTTGGACCTGTTTCTTCAGCAAGCAGTAAATACAGCCTAACTCTAAACTACATAAATACAAATATAGTTAAATATAAAATCTACTAAAGAGTTATTTACCATTCATTAGTCCTCAAATCCATACCAATTCTTATAAAGCACCAATGCAATCCACACTAATGTTAAAGGGAACACCATCTTATAAACAGATGCACAAAAAAAAAAAAATGTAGCAAACTAGGATGAGATTTTTTTCCCAACATGGTAAATAATATTTATAAAAAGACCTATAACTAGCAGACTCATTTTTAATGTAAAATATCAAAGTCCCCACTACTTTTATTCAAATGGTTTTAGAATCCTTATTAAAACAATACTATTCACATTTGCATGTATGCGCAGTTGCATATGTCCTCATGCACACACATACACCCTAGTTATCCATCAAGATATGTACAAGATCTGTATGAGGAAAATCACAAAATCCAATTTAAGAAATTAACTCAGTTTCCCCCACCCAGTTTAAGTTGGACTTTTTATTAAAAGGTTCTGCTCTACAAATTGCAAGGTTAGGGAATATGTAAGCAAAAAGACTCCTAGTGGGAGAAAATACCTGATCCATACCTAACGATTCAAAATACACAAAAAGCTCTTAATATGTCATTATGAAAACAACCTATTTTAAAAATGCAAATGATTTAAACTAACACCACATTAAATATCGTAGCAAAAAAGCATGATATGTTCATTATCTTATCTTTAGAGAAACTCACAGGGCAAGTTTTCTAACACTCTACACTTACAAGAAAAGTTAAAATTTAAAACAACAATTTCACCAATTGCTGGGAAGGATATCTTTAGAGAAACTCACAGGGCAAGTTTTCTAACAAGAAAAGTTAAAATTTAAAACAACAATTTCACCAATTGCTGGGAAGGCTTCGAGTTAATAACTCTGCTTATATTACTTAGTAATATAAGTAATATAAGCCTGTTCCATGGCTTATATATATATGGCTGGACCATACCATCAGTGCATTATTAATTTTCTGCTTTGCTTCTGACTGAGGATGTAATCTGACTTTTCAAGTCACTGCTGCTATGACCTTCTTGTCATGATAGACTAGAACCTGAAGCTGAGGTGAGCTGCTTTTGTTAAATATTTATAACAGCAATAAGACACTTATTGTATACTCATTCTGTTTGAGATCGATGCCCAGGCTCATTTGGAACGCCTGAATTCAAGTTATTTCCTACCTGAATACCTGAATAGCTGTGATGAAAGCTACATGCTACCATACCCACATAGAATTTTTACTAGTAACCATGGAAACTAAGAAGCAAGATGTTTTTCAATAGAAGGAATAAACTGGTACAGCCCTACAATGATTTTTACTGTGCTAAAAATAAGCTATGAAACCACAAAAAAAAAGAGACAGGGATAAACTTTAGACAGCTACTCCTATAAGAAAGAAACCAAGTGGGAAATGCTACAGACTGTTCAACTCTGTAGATGATGAAAGGCAAAATTATAGAAACACTGACAGCAGTCACAAGAGATTCCCCCTACCCCTTCCCATGACAGCATACTAGTAATACTATATATGACAACTCTCACAATGTGTAATACAAAGACAATTCCACTGTCAACTTCGGACTTCTACTGATGTTTCAACATTGGCTCATTAACTGTAACTAATACAACATACAAGGGCAAGAAAGTATGCCAACAGTAGAGAGGGTTGGACAGGGTTTACAAGAAGGGATGCAGGAACTTAATCCTGCTTAAAACTGTACGTTTAACTTACCTTACACATTAGCTTAATTCTAAAATTAAACAAATATGCCTCTACCATACAAGAAGACAAGATATTAAAACTAGAAAATATTTTTAAGCAGTTTGTTTCCTTTCTAAGGTAAGAATTTCAAAAAACCCCACTACTTCTTGTGGCATCCCAAACTGTAATTCTGTATTTTAGAATCTGAGTCAAGAGAATCATGGTAAACTCAAGAACAGTCTAGGCTACATGGGGAGTTCTATGACAGCCTGGGGCTACATAGGAAAATTGTCTCAAAACCAACAAAGAGGCAAAACAGACAAAAGATGATGTACTTCTACATGGTTTATATTTAAAACCGACTCACAACTCTTTGCTATGGGAGGCTACTTTTTTTGCTCTTGTCTTGGCACTTTGCTTAGTCCAGGAAGGTTAAGATAGAGGGTAAGGTGGGTGTGTGTCACAGTCTGTATTTCTTGTCTTAGAACATTTTTCAGTTATTTTGGCTAATTCTTAGGGTATTAAATGATATAGCTTTAAATAACATTGTTTTTAAATTTTATAAATTACTATTAAGGTTGATGTAGATTTAGCTTTTTAATTCAAATATCCCAACCATTTACATGTCTTTACTATATGTGATATGAGGTATTAGTATATGGTAATGGAAATATGGCTTATAATTTAATGTATCAATGAAGTTAAATCTTGGCAGCATGAGAAAAAGGTTGATATACAATATACAATCTGTTTACTTTAGCTAAAAAAAAGCCAAACTAATTTTATATTTTTACTGACATAGGTGGTTAAGAATGCTAAAAGGGAAACTGAAAATCAGTGAACATACTCTCACTGATGTCTTATTTTTAGATGGCTGTTCGTGGTTCTATAAATTCTCAGTATCACTTGTCCAGTCCTATGAAACCGCTCCTTGTCAATGTATCCTTCCCACACATTCAGAAGAATCAAGAACTTCTACCACTTAATATAACAACAAAAAGGGTACATGAGATTTAAAGTTATGGTAAAGGCAAACTAGATAGATCATCTTACAGAGGCAAAACATGCACACAGTTGACAATAAAAGAAATATATGTAATTATATGCACAAATCTAAAAAGAGGCAAAAAGAAATAAGCCCCACATCCAGTCACTACTATGCTCATGACATATACAAAACACGTGGCCAATAAAAAGGCTGACCCACTTGAGGCTTTGCTGGATTATGGTAAAACATAGGAGCTCAATGGCAACCAAAGATGGGTTACTCAGACAATCACACAGCTTAAGCTGAGAAATTAAGGACAACCTAATCAGGATAAGGGAAAATGGCAAGATTTGAACATAATTTTAGGTCCTGCTAAATGTTATGTATACACTGGGAAATTCCAAGATCTGGATATGAATAAAGTCATTTACAACTGACAACCCTAGGAATCTTTCCTAGAAAAGTGTGATGTCTCAAAAATACTATTATCCTGTACCTTACATATTCCTGTAGTAGTACCTTTTCACTGGGATCACCAGCCTGCATATAATGACCCACATATTAATTATCTATGTTCTGCGACATTGCTTGGTTGGTTATCTCTGCTCTGTGTCATATGTCAGACTTCTTCAGTCTCACTTGCATCCCAGTGCCTAGACTGATCTCCTCTTCCTCCCCAGAAATCCTGCCTATCCTCTCCAGCCTAGCTATTGGCCATCCAGCTCTTTATTAAACCAGAGTCACCTTGGCAAAGAAACATCTTTACAGTATACAAAAAGATTATCCCACAACATATTCCTGTAATTTCCAAAAGGCAATAGCTGGAACAGATACCCAAGAAATAACAAAATACTTCAAGTCTATAGAAACACATTAAAAAAAAAAAAACTAGAACCTGGACTTCCTGTCAAAGACAAGTTGACTATAAATACATGAAAATAAAATGTCAAGGCTTCAATCTTCAGGAAGTAATTAGTAACAGTTTATTCTATGTTTTTACAAAGACAATGGCATATTGATACCAGAATCCACAAGGACTCTAAAGCATGACAAAGAATTCTCCCTCCCCTCATCACAGTAAAAAAAGCATAAAACAGGATTTATACATTCTACCTAGGCCATATTAGTTTTCTTGCTATGTACTTATTTTTTTCTATTATAAGATTAAGACTTGGTTTACCAATAAAAAAAAAAAAGTTTAGGGCACTGGGATTTTGTTTTGAGCCCATCTGACATAATTACCTCCCTCACACAAGAAAAGGTAAGCCCAGGATAATGGATACATAAATAGGGTCCGCAGTATGGACTTGCAGCAAGTAAAATTTGTAAAAGTAACTTTAGCTGACGGTGAATCCTACTGAAAACTAAAATTAATAATACTAACAATAAATTCGGGGATCTTCAGATTCTCTAAAAAATCTTACTAAGCTATTTGGATCATTAAAGTATGTTTCCAAAAAGCAACAAAAGACTAACGATTTTAATTGTAAAAACTGTGAAGGTGGAAAAGAAATCGTTATTTCACTAAAAACAAAACTAAATTCAAAAACACCCAGATAAAAAGCTTTCTCTTCTACTCTACAAGACAAGAAAAATTTTGAGGTGTCCTTTTTTTTAAGGACAAAACTCACTATGAAGGACCACACAATCCCACGCACCGTCAGAATGCAGTCTTTGGTGTGGTGAAGGCATTCAGGGAGCCTTCACTCCAACCTTCCCTGCCCGTTCCTTGCCTACAGCTTCTCCAGAATCGCAAGGAAAACAGAGAAGGACGGAATGCAGGATGCGTGCACCGCAAGGCTATCTTGGAAAGTGGTAAAAATTCACACATCCGGTTTGGTTTTTGCAGCTGGGTCACAGGCTCTGGAGCAGGAGTGAAGTGGCTGGACACCTGCAGAGAACCGGATTTTCTCTTCACACCGGCCCAGGAGCCTTCTGCAACTAGTCTCTGCAGAACTTCCTGCCCTGAGGCAGCCCTCCTGTTCTAGGCCCGCCCGGCCTACACAAGCCTACCTCTTCCCCGGTCTCCTCAGGCTGAATTCTTCGCTCTTTCCACCCGTCAGCGGCCACTGCCGCCCTGACCCTGCCTCGGGGACCAGCGCTACCTCTCGCAGGACAGCCTGGCTACACCGGGGCAAAGCCGGCCCACGACGACTATGAGGACACAAGATGCTCACCGCTCCTTGTGCTCTGCTTCACCTGCTGCAGCCGAGAGCGCACACACACTCCCAGCATGCGCAGCCCTCCCCCCGCCTCTCCGGCCC